AAGATATGGCCTGCTGCCCGCCGAAGGTGCAGCTCCCTGGCTATCCTGAATAAAATTCTGAGATGGAGTTCTAGAGAAATTACTTCTAAAAGAGGGCATAGCAGACTGAATTGGCCGGGCTGTAAGTGTCGGCTTCCCTGAACCTCTTGTGTCGGAATCGTGACAGGTACATGTGCTCTTAGCTTTCTTAGCGAACGCCTTAGCCTGCCCATCGTGTCTCACCCCTTCCACATTCTTCACAAAATCTGTTACATCGTTAAACCTTTCCCTGCAGAAGTCATGTGCACAGACAATACTTATAGCTCAGAGTTCAGCCCCTTAACGAATAGACGGATCCTCTCTTCCTCAGTAGTCATCAATTGCGTAGCATATCTAGACAAAGCATGGGACATACCACCTTGCTCCAAAGTCAGGAACTCATCCTTCTTACAATCATTTTTTTAAAACATGTTTTGGTTATCAGGCCATTTATTAATTACATGCCCATTAGGCTAATGTTCAAAAGATGGATCAAAATTGACCCTACAAAAATAAATAAAATAAAAAAACAAACCAAATAAATTCTATTTCTAAAAGCACTAAAATGAAATTTGAAATTGGAACTATCCAGGCACTTCATGGTCAGTCATCTCCGTACCGATTTTGTCCTGGTAAGGACCATTTCTAACTTGATGTCGAGATCCTGCCACCAAGGTATGTCCTTCATTCCTCTCATTTTTATTGGTCTCATTGATTTTTTGTTAATTGCAGTTGTTCTGAACTCTGTTTGTTTGGTTATATATCGTATCCCTGTGACTGTTGGTTGAGCTCTCTATGGGATTTTACTGATTTCCATTGATTTATGAAAAGTAGATTGTTGATCCACCACTGCTCAATCCTCAATTTGGTCAGTGTTGCCCCTTCTATTTGAGTTGTCTTGCTTTTTGTGTTTACTGTGTGGCTCACCATTTGTACTTGTTGTATGTACATGTCTTATTGTTGTACTTTTTGCCCATTTTATATGTTTTTTTTCCTTGGTACTGAAAATTGAGCAATTATTAGAAAATCAGTCCTCATAATTCACCTCCCTGAGGATTTGAAAATGAGGAACAAATTTCCTTTGATGCACCTCCTCTGCTTCTAATATGTTTATTTTCTGCATTGTCTGATTCTTAGTATAGGTACCACTAGTTTATCACTGTTCACTATCTGTTGCCTTGAGATTCTAATTCTTGGAAACAGTTCACCTGAATGTCCCTTTCTCTAGGCTAGGTTAGCTAGGTAATCGGCTAGTTTGTTCCTTCTCTAAAATGTGTGATATAACCATGTTTTTCCTTTGCATGAGCTCCATATTTCCTCCAGAATATTCACTACTTCCATGGTACTTTCCACACTCTTTCCACAATGTTTTTAAGTATAGAGAACAGTTTCTATAATCACCTTGTCAGTTGTGCTTGTTTTATGTACTTTAAAGCATTAAGAGTGTCATTTTTGCTTTGTTTTATTGGGTTGCCGCTATTGTTTTGCTTTGTATTAGTAATTAGAGGTTATCAATCTCCTTAGCCTGAGCTTGTATGAATCCCTTTATTATTTCTCACACAAAAACCCAGGAACTTCTTCTGGATTTCCTTTTGATGCTCCATCAGTGTTGACTTTAATTCAACCAGTATTGGTGGTCTCCAAATAACTCTAGTTACCTTTACTGTTGGATTATAGTTGTGAATAGCCTCTACCACCATTGCTCCATTTGTATGGATGTACATGCATTTCTCCTCCTAGTTTTCATGAATTGAATCAATGTATGCATAATTTGATAGATCACCTTCTTACTGAGATTTTTTCCCCTGTCTTATTGTGTTTCTCCTTTCCACAATTCCCAACTATGATAGAAGGGACAGCCTGAAATATATACTTAATCTGGTGATGTGCATCGATCTCCCACCATCGATTAATAATTGGGATAGCTGCATGTTCTTCACGTTATTCCTACTGGCCCACAGAAGTGATTCCATACCATTTGAGCTACGGGGAGTGTAGAAATACATGAGTAGTGTCTTCTATTTTAGGATTTTCACAACAATAGCATCTTGAAGGGAATTGAATTCCCCACTTCTTCAATGTATCATCTAGGGGTAGTTTGGATTTCCACAATTTCCACATGAAAAAAGATTTTTGATAGGCATACCTTTGATCCACATGAGGTTGTACACCTTGTTAATTTCCTGCTTTTGTCTTACTTTCTGGAATGCAGTACTTACTGTGAATTTCCCCTAGATTCCAATTTCCAGTAAGGTCTATCAAACTCTTCAGTGTCCTTGGGTGGACTGATTCTTTGTAAATGTGATCAGCCAAATCTTGAGGAAGTAATTCTTTTAAAGTTTGTTCATCCCAATGTCCTTCTTCTGCCACTTCTTTGACTAGAATGATGTTTGATCGTACTCAAATTCTGGGGGAATAATTTATACAGAGCACCCAAACCTGTCAGTTATCTAGCCAAAAATTAGAATTACCTTGCTTAATTGACCACCAGATTTCAGGTTCTACTTCTTCTCTGCTTTGATCATTTTCTTCCAGATATATTGTGCTTGTCTTAGTTGTACTACCACTGCATGGTGTTTCTTCAAATATTTATTGCTCATTATAATTTTCCACAATGATTCTCTAGTTCTCATGTTCCACCATAGCTTTGCAACAATGCTTTAGATATATCTGAAGACTCCTGAAACCCACTCCTCCTTCTTCATATGGATGACATAATGTTGTCCAAGTGGCCCAGTGTTTACTAGAGTTTCCAATGAGTTGCTCCAGAAGAATTTAGCAAACATTCTGTGTAGTTGGGCTATGACTCCAGCTGGAGGGTCACATGCTGATAATAAATGAATAGGCATACTCTGTAGGACACATTTTATCAAAGTTGTCCTTCCTCCTATAGATAAGAGTTTTCCAGTCCAGGAACTTAATCTGTTTTGGACTTTATCCAAAGTTCTTTGTAGAAAATATTTGCCTCTGCTATAATACATTGGTACGCCCAAATAGGTGAAAGGAAAATCTTTCCTTGGAATTTTTGTCACGAATATACCTGATCCACTAGAACTTGGGGGTGTGATGATGCATGAAGACCGCACTTTTTGCTTTGTTAATCAGTTGTCCACTTACCTTTTCATACTCTTGCAAGGGTGTTCATTATCAGCTCTAAAGAATATTTATCTGCTATGCAAATATGATAGTATCATCTGCATAAGCTAAATGGTTCACATATGGACTCCACTTTGGCATTCCATACTCCTTGTACCCTCCTTACAATGAAGTGCATTAAGAGCTCTAAAAAAATTCTGTAGCCAGTATAAATAAAGTTGGTGATAAGGGATCACCCTGTTTACTCCCCTTGTGGAACTTAAAGAACCCTTGAGGTTGTCCATTAACTAGTATTAAGTACCAGTTATTGGGATACAATTCTATAAATCATATCTATTAGGATCTCCCCAAAACCTATTTTTTCTGAGCACTTTAGTCAAAAATATTCCAAGATACTCTGTCATAAGCTTTTGCCATGTCTAATTTGATAAAACATTAGCAGGCTTACCCTTACTCTAATATCATTGAACTATCTCTTGAACTAGTAAGATGTTTTCTACAATACTTCTGCCTTTAACAAAGCCTGATTGTTGTGGTGATATTAATGTTGGCAGTAGCTTAGTCAACCTATCATGGATGATTCTAGAAAACACTTTGCTGGTGAAGTTGCTTAGACTGATAGGCCTCATATCTGAGAAAGTGGTGATTTCTTTTTTCTTTGGAATTAGTGTCAGATTCGTACATGTGATGTACCTAGGCAACTCATGCCCACAAAAGAAAGATTTCACCATCTTCGTCATGTCCTTTGCAATTATACCCCAGCAAGTCTGATAGAATTTACCAGTGTATCCATCTGGTCCTCCAGCACTCTCTGCATTTAGTCCAAATACAGCATTCTTAACTTCCTCCTCCTCTGGTAGTTCATTAATTACAATATTTTGTTCTTCTGATACCATCTTAGGTATATACTGCAACATGTCAAAGTCACTTGGAAGTCTTTCCTCTGTAAATTGTTTTGTGTAGAATCTGATTGCCTCCTGCGCTATGTCTTCTTCTCTATCTAACCATTCTCCTCTATCATCTTGGATTCTTTTTTATTTGCAATTTTCTTCTTTTTCCATTAACATGTGCATGGAAAAAATTTGTGTTTCTATCCCCATTCACAAACCATTGCATTCCCGCTTTTTGTTTCCAAAACTTTTCCTCTACTGCATATAATTGATTAAATCAGCCTGCACCTTCTGTAGTCTTTCTCTATTAGTGTTTGTAGGATGATTCTCAAATTCTTGCTCATGGATCTGTACCACTTCTGTCAAAGTATCTATCTGTCTGAATATGTCTCCATATGAGTCCTTACTCCATTTAGATAGTGCCTTACTCACCCTTTTCTGTTTACTGTGAAAGTTAAAGAAAGGGTCAGTACTATGATCTTCTTGCCAGTTCTCTGCTACAACTTTCTGAAAAGCTTCATGTTCCACCCAAAAGTTTAGAAATCTAAATGCTTTCTTGATTGGATTTCTATCTGCTCCACTTGTTATAACTAGAGGAGAGTGATCTGAACCCTGTTTGATAAGATGCTCCACTTCTAAATTAGGAAATAAATTCTGCAAAGCTTGATTACCCAAGCATCTGTCAAGTCTTTTAAATATGCAGGCTGCATCTGATCTACCATTCCACCATGTGTACATACTTCTTTTGAAACCCAAGTCTGTTAACTGGCAAATATTGATACAGTGAATAAAGTCTTCAGTTTCATTAAATTGTACTGGCAATCCCCCATACTTTTCCATATCATCAATTATCACATTGAAATCTCCACCTACTAACCATGGGTTAGTCATAGTTGCTGCAATGGTATATAGATCATCCCATAGAGTTATTCTAGTACGTCTATCTGTGCTAGCATATACTAGTGTCACATGTATTTCTTGTCCATCATCAATATCTGTGAGTTTGAATGATAGTAACTGTTCTGTGTCCATCTGTACTTCCATCTGAAATCTATCCTCCACAAATAACCAAATTTTGCCATTTAAGTTATGACAAGTTGTTTCCATATTTAACCATAATTTATACATGTCAATGTGTCTATAATGTTGAAAAGGTTCCATCAAGGCTATGAAGTTAAAATGTTTTTGCCTATTCATCATTACTACCCTTTCAAAGGCCTGTTGTGAATTAACCGACCTTATATTCCATATAAGTGAGCAATTCATTGAGAGATAGTGTTGGCATGAGCTTTCCTTGTTAGTATACCTCCCGTTGCCTTTGGAGGTACACTTTTATCTCTTCCTTTAGCATTTTTCTTTTCTTTCTTTGTTTTTGCTATTTGTCTAGGAGATAGATCTCCTTTGTTGTTGTCTTGATTTGCTACTGCACTGTTCTCCAATTCATCATCATCTCCAATGTGAACTTCATTTTTATGCTCTCCTTGTGGTTGACTTTCTGTCTTATTTGTTATTATATTCTGATTCTCTGCCCCTATCTGACTACTGTTCTCCTCTATTCTATCTATCTCTCTGTCTTTGCTTTGAGTTTCTATGCTATTGTCTTGATTACCCTGATGTGTGTCTGCCACTACTGATGTAGCTGTTTCTGTTGAATTTGCAGGGTCCTGATTTCCTTGTGTTGCTGGATAGCTATTATTTGGTGATTTTTGGGGGGTGAGCACAACTTGTGGGCTGCCTGAATCTGCAGGCACCTTTTCAATTATATGCAAATCGTCTTTTGTAGCCTCACTAACTATTGTTTCCTCTGTATTCTGTTGCTTTTCTTGTATTATGTCTTCTTCCTGTATCTTTTGTTTCCCCATATTGTCGGTATTCTGGGTTACTTCATCTTCTATATTTTTGCTATTCTGGTTATTGTTATCTTCACTTTGACTGTTGGCTATCTTTGCTGCAGTATGACTTTTGCCAAAAGTTGCTTCTACCCATTGTTTAGTCTTATCTTCACCTTTAAGGTTGCTATCACTTGTTGATCTTTCCACATTTTTCTCTGCTCCATCTTGCTCATCATCTGTGAGATGCACTAAAGTCTCAAATTTATTAGTGATAGCCGTTCCTTTGTCACCTTTATTATCTTTGTGATCCTTATTCTTGTTGTTGTGATTTTGCTGGGTATCATATTCTTTCTGGTTTAGGTCATGCTGCAACTTATTCTTGTTATTTTTATTCTGAACCACGTTCCAATTTTCATGAATCAACTTCCCATTCTTAAACACTCCATTCACGTTTGGTATCTGTTTCCCTTTGTCCTCCTCCTCTTTTTCTTTTCCTTTGTCATTTAGCTTCTTATCTTCCTGCTTTTCTTCTCTCTTTGGCCTATGCTCAGGGTGTAATATCCAGCATCCCTGTAAATCATGTCCTTGAAGTTTACAGTGTGTGCAGTATCTCGGAAGATAATCATAGTGGATTTTTTGCCATTTTGATTTGACTGTTCCCGTCTCCTCTTCTATACAATTGATTTGAATTCTTTTTGGTAGTTCTTTTAGCAAATCAACTTCCACCTTAACCCTCGCACAACTAGGTCTGGTTTGGTTATTAGTGGCTTTGTCAATCACTAGAGGTTTCCCCACAGCTGTTGCCAAAGAAAAAAGGGATTCTTTATCGAACAAATTAGTTGGCAATCCGGGGAACGAAATCCATGCAATGGCAATGGTTGTTTCCTCCTCTGGGTTGAACCACGGATCCCACTTTAAGAATCTTAAGGGGAAATACCTATTCCTTACTCTGAGTTCCCAAGCTTTAGACATCAAAGTTGCATAATCCTCTAGTAATGATAATCTAATCAGTATGTGCCTCTCCTCTAAGAAACCAATATTACATGGTCCTTTAATTTCCAATTGGATCGGAATTGCCTTCCTCAATTCATATAGATCAGGACGTCCATAGGAAAATTTAGCTACCACAGCATATTGGAGATTTTGTCTCACTGTTAACTTCTCAAATTCCTTTTTTGTCCATGTAATCGTTGGCTCCCCATGCAAAAAAATAATAGGTTTAATATCTATAGGCTCCGCCACCTGTGGGCCAATTGAATTATGAACTGCAGCAGCATAATCAAGATTGTTAGTGGTGGTGGTAGGGTTGTTTATGGTGGGCAGACCAACCCCAGTGGGGGGCTGACCGCCGGCCGGCGTGGCCATAGACGGTATTTGAGGTATTCGCGTTCGTAGGGTTTAGAGTTCGTAGGGTTTTTTTTTTGGCAAATTCGGTAGTTGCCATCTTTTTTATCTATTTTACATATTATAATAGTTAAGACTTTATTGTCATTGTTCTTTTCATTTATTGGCATTAAGAAATGATTTGTACATTGGAGCATTCTTATTTATTTAAATTAAAAATAGTCAAAAACACATATGGGATGTCATTCTTTTGAAAGTTTTCTATCAGAACTATTATGTATTTACTTTTCCTACTTGAACTGCCACCCGCTAATTATCAAAACACTTCTGAATTATCAGTTTTTTCTTGTTCCTACCTGAATCATCACCCGAATTGGCCCCAAACCGCCCCAAATCAAAAGAGGGATGTTCTGGTCCAAACCCAACCCAAATCAAAAGAGGGATTTATTTCTTTTAGTTGAGTGGGGTCGAAAAGGGTTTTAAAAAAAACGAGTGAGATGATTGTTTTAAAGTCGTGTGGCATTTTTGGAAATTTAATAAAAACAGTTTAAGAATATTTTTTTTAATTCAATAAAAATAGATTTGTTAATGAAAAGGGTAATATGCAACATTTGTTAGACAACGAAGGTATATATGCACCATTTATTAGATATGACGAGGGTGTATATATATATATATGCGCAACTTATCATGTTTCTCCACAACTTCACTAATAAACTTCAACGTCTTGCCTTTAACATCTTCTAAAACCTCCCAAAAAATCTTCAATAACTCATTTATGAGCCGGCAGTAAACGTAGAAATCCTTAAACATGTAATGACAACAAACTAATCAAAACATCCATTCAAGAAATGCTCATGTTCTGAAATAGCCGTTACAGCAAGGCACAACAAAGAGTTATAATACTACATCAACGTTTCTTTCTCGTTTTTCAACTTAAACTTCTAAGCAAGAGATCGAGATCAACTTAAATCTATGTAGACAATTTCTGTTGTAGGTGATGCACACGAAAGCTTTGAGATCTCAATGAAGAATTCGAATCTTGTGTCAAGAGGTTTCTAATCTAGAAATTGTCCATCGATTAACATTCTCTCCAACACCGGGAAGTTGGCTAAATAAGGTTGATAAGTTGCATCTCAGGCGTTCTTCCCGTAAAGTTTCCTAGTTTAACTTCTCCAAGGTAGTTAAATATCATGTTTGACAAATTTTTGAGTTCAAAGGATTTTTCATAATCACTATCATCTTCATCGAAATCTTAAGAAAGATAACAAGAAGTCAATTCTCAGATTATTGAGGATCCAAAAAGTATGACAAATAACCACTAAATAAGAAAGAAAAGAGTTAAAGAACTACAAACCTGCATTTTGAGATAGTCCGAATATGGGAAGCTTTTTATCAAGCAAAGAACATATGAGAGCTTATAAGATTCCACCAGCAAAATATCAGACATGTACAATAGTTTAACAATGTTAAGATTAAAGGGAAGCCTTGTTGGTGCTTCATATCATTCTTCAACAAAAAACTAAGAAAAGTGATGATTTCAATTACAATGTACCTTTATTTCCTATCTAGATAGTTTGGGGATTTCATTCCTTCTTGTAACACCTCAGATTCAAAAGAGTAGAAAATTTCAGTTTTTCAGAAAAATATTTGGTGTCAGTACCGATGGACGCCATCAACGGTCTGTGTTCTGACTCATGGACCATAGGTAGGCCCGTGGTTGGTCAGTCCTAGTTTTCCAAATCTTGAAAGTCCCAGTACTTAGTGACGATTCACCAGGACGGTCTGTCGTCCTATCTACGAGCCGTAGGTAGGTCTTGTAGGTGAGTCCCAAACTTAGAGAAATTTTAGGGTCAAAAAGTCGAGACCCACAGACCGTAAGTGGGTTCCATTGTTCAAAGGCCCAGAGAATAAGTCTCTAAACCCATCGACGGTCGATCAGGACGGTCCATAGGTGGAACCACGGACCGTAGGTCATTACCGTCGATGGAGGTCGACAGTTATTTTTAATGGGTTTCTTGGTATCTTCCCTAATTATTTTATTTCAATACCCGGTCGTTTTGCCCTCTATTAGAACCCATATATAAAGGTTTTTACCCCCAAAATTACCCATTCAATTCATTCTTTCAATTTACCCAAAATATAGAACAAGTTCATCCTCTCCAAAATATTTATCTTTAGAAGAAAAAGAAAGAGTCAACCTAGGGTTCAAGATCAAGTCTCCAATTCACCAATTGCTTAAGGGCTTTGAGTATTAAGGTATAATAGTTTTCATCTATGGAGCCCTTCCCTCTATAGAGTTTCTAAATTTCCCAATTTTGAAGTTAGAAATTTTCAATTGGAGTTAGGGTTTTCTTCTATGTTATGGGTTCCTTTCAATATTGATTTATTTGATTGATTTATGAAGTAATAAGCATGAATTGAGATAATTCAATGGTTTTAAGATGAATATTGTCACGCCCCGAGCCTACACCCTGGGCGGGACTGGCACTCGAAGACCATTGATGGCCCCAAGTAAACCTTTGGCCTGGCTTACTGACTTAGCAGAAGACTCTAAACATTTTACTATAATCAAATGAACTTACTCAAATAACTTTAGTGAAATAACTCAGAATGTTTAATGGTCAACATTCAACTTGGCCAAAATGGCAACTCAAGTCTTAACATATGAAATGGTAATGTAAAGACGTCTGACTACTAACTGTCTACGAAGCCTCTAAAACAAAGAAGGATGTCGGGACAGGACCCCCGATCATCCTAACATCTGAAAGACTAGAAAGTAAATAAAAGAGTCTTTCGAAATACAAGGAGGCTCACCAACAGACTCTGAATGCTCAAGCTGGATCAACGAGGCGCTGGATGTTGATCCTAGTTACCTGTGTCTGCATCATAAGAAGATGCAGGCCAACTGGCATCAGTACATTAAATGTACGAGTATGTGAGTTTGAATGCTAAAACAAGTTATAGGCTTGAAAGAAATCTGAAGAAAACACTTACCTTGGCTCTTCTCAACTCATGAATAAACTTAACTCAGAATAAAGCAATGAAATATATGCATTATATGAAAAGCTTTATAAAATAGTAAAAGCAACTTAGTTCATTAAAGAAAATGGAATAACAAACTCAATTTTACTCATATACAAAGCAATATAGTTTAGGTGGGAGTTTCTCTAACCGGCAACCACCACTATGAGCCTAAGTGGTGATACAACGTCTTTTGACACGCTGCCAGAACGGTCCTATACTTTGCCGTCATATAGAACTTACTTAACTTAGTGGATCCACTAGCTTAACTTATGTGATCATCTAAAAAGTATGACCCATTAATACCCATGATGGCTACATGGTTTATGGAAACTAGAGTTAATATGATCTCGCATCCCCATAGCGGTGCTCAATACTACTGCCAAAAATATACTTAGCTCATATGTTTAAAAACATAACTCTTTCTTTAGTTTGAGATAATTACTCAAAGCTTAGCCCAAAGGATTTATTGGAATTGATGTTCCCTTTTCTTATTCAAATGTGAAAACATTTATAAACTTTTTTAGGAATACTTAGTTCCATAATAACTTTTTGAGAAATGAACTCAACTCTTTACTCTTTGCTTAACTTGAAAACTTGAGTCTTAAAATGAATTTAAAACATTGTTAAAGACTCTTGAAAACTTTAGGAAACTTTGTTTTGACTTGCTTCTTAACTTCTAGACTTGACTCTTGACTTCTTTGACTTTGATCTTAACTTTCCTTGAATTGGATTATGGATTCAAGGTTCATGATCTCATGTTTATGGATGATTTCATGATGTTTAGATGTACCTTAGAGTGTTAGAATCAACTAGGAAACATAGGTACATCACTTAGAAACTAGTACGAAAAGATGGGGGAAGAATGGGACGAACTGGCGTCCTTGGCGTTCAGAGAGGCGTGGGAAGCCAAGCCCCAAACTTCAGAGGACAAGTTAGGGCGCACTGGCTGGCGTGGCACCCCAAGGGGTAAACTTCAGAGATTCTTTTGGGGCGCGCTGGCTAGCGCAACGCCCCACCCTTTTCCCCAGAAAATTCCGACTTTTCTCCTTCATTTTTCATCTCTAAACCCTCTAAACTTCCATAGTTCTTTCCCCAAACACTTAGGATCATTATTACCCTCAATACCCAATAGATTTTAACTCAAAAAACAAGCCGGAAACACGAATCAAATCAACACTAGACATTCAACAATCAACCAATAAGAATTCAACAATGTTCTTCAAAAACTTCACTTTCTTAACATTCAAACGACTCAAATTTTGCTGAATTGAAACAAGTTAGCGTGTGGGTGAACTAACCCAACACTATGTGATCTCATATACCTTGTAGGGATCACCCCCGACGAATTTCACTCGCAAAGCTTGAACGTTCTTGGCGATTTCTTGATTTCTCTCCTCTTTTTTCTTCTTTCTTCTCCTCTCCAAGCCCTAGCGTAAATTCTAATTTTCTAAACTAAATAAAGTTTTGTTTTACCCCAATTAATTCCTATAAAAGAAATAGGCAAATTAGTAAGGAAAAGACTAGTTTACCCTTCCAAAACCCGGATTAGACTTTCCTTAATCTAATAGTCTAACTTCTAAAGGGCATAACTTACTCATATAAACTCAGAATCGCGCAAACTCGGTGGCATTGAAAAGATCATTCCAAGAGTTTTCCAACCATATCTCGTACTACACCTAAATAATACTGAGTTAGGATTTATGGTAGTTTGAAGTTGACCAGAAACTCTCTTTAACTTACTTGAAATTTTCCAGATTTCTTTATACTTTCCAAAAATGACTATTTCTAGATTTTAAACTTCTTTCTAGTTCTTTCTAGTTGCGAGATGTTACAAATACCCATGAACCCATACATACCCCCATGTTTTCTAAGCTATGATGATAATGTGGGTTTTTAGCCATGAAAGAAGAAGTTTATGAAGATATGCATGTTCTTATGAGATTGATGAAATATGATGTAAGTTGTTTTGAGAGTAAAGTATAAATGTTGATTGT